CCTATCACATTGGGATGAATTCCAGTACCGGCATCCTCCGTGCACCGAGCACTCTCTGACTGCAGCTGCTCAGACGTGGACGGCGCGTCAGGATCACCAGCGTCACATTCCGCTCTCCCCGCGTCTCCCGCCTCCCCCTAAACCCCGAACAAGAAACAGAATTAATTATATCATATACCCGACATGATACAGGAGATGGTCAGAGACTGCAGACATGATACAGGAGATGGTCAGAGACTGCAGACATGATACAGGAGATGGTCAGAGACTGCAGACATGATACAGGAGATGGTCAGAGGCTGCAGACATGGTACAGGAGATGGTCAGAGACAGCAGACATGATACAGGAGATGGTCAGAGACTGCAGACATGATACAGGAGATGGTCAGAGGCTGCAGACATGGTACAGGAGATGGTCAGAGACAGCAGACATGATACAGGAGATGGTCAGAGACTGCAGACATGATACAGGAGATGGTCAGAGACTGCAGACATGATACAGGAGATGGTCAGAGACTGCAGACATATACAGGAGATGGTCAGAGACTGCAGACATGATACAGGAGATGGTCAGAGACTGCAGACATGATACAGAAGATGGTCAGAGACTGCAGACATGATACAGGAGATGGTCAGAGACTGCAGAAATGGTGCAGGAGATGGTCAGAGACTGCAGACATGGTACAGGAGATGGTCAGAGACTGCAGACATGGTGCAGGAGATGGTCAGAGACTGCAGACATGATACAGAAGATGGTCAGAGACTGCAGACATGATACAGGAGATGGTCAGAGACTGCAGACATGATACAGGAGATGGTCAGAGACTGCAGACATGATACAATAGATGGAACCTGGGAGGCAAAGCATGAGCACCAAAGGACTGCATGTGGCCCTTAGGTCCCAGGTTGGGCCCCCAGGAGCAGCATGCGATGATACCTGCTTCTCATTGGCATGTCGTTCTTCTCTGCGTTTCTCGAATTCCTCGAAGGAGATTTTGCCCTCCAGATAGTCGATGAGCTCCGGACTGAAGCCGGACATTGTCAGCTGTCATCAGGAGGAGGAAGTATCTGCAAGAAGGAAACGCGTCAAGCGTCCATGTCATGTGATCTATGCCTGTTCTGCTCCCCCCTCCCAGCAGTTGCACAGGGATCGGATCACGTGTTCGGTGCGCTGGGAGATGATCGAGGGGGAGGGAAGAATAAGGTGATCACGTGGCCCGAGTATAGAGGGGTGTCGGTGTATTGGGGCGCACAGTTGGCTGTTTCTGGTATCGCACCGAGTTCTGGATACAGTTGGATATAGCATCAGGTTTAACGGGGTGCAGTGGTGGTGCAGTCTGCAATAGGGTGCAGTGGTGGCAGGATATGCAATGGGGTGCAGTGGTGGCAGGATATGCAATGGGGTGCAGTGGTGGCACGATAAGCGATGGGTGCAGTGGTGGCACAATCGTGCGATGGGGTGCAGTGGTGGCGCGGTCTGCAGGGGGGGGGGGCAAGGTTTGCGATGGGGTGCAGTGGTGGCGTGACGGTCGGCACTATATAAATCCTGTATAATGATGTACGGGGAGTGATCGGCGTCCTCTGGTTATATCGCTCGGCACGCCGCACCAGCTGCACATTCTCCGTCTCCGAGATGTTTACACATACCGAGAAAATTGAATCTGCAATAAATAACCATCCGAAGTGTGTATGTTACCCGTCATGTTGTGTATGTTCTCTGCTATAAACACGCAACACGCGCTGCATCTGACCGGCCTAATGATGCCCGCCCCGGACCGCTGCAGAGCGAAGTCTTCATACTACTAAAATACCATTTACTGTTCAGGGGTTCAGACCAGTCACCCTGCAGGAGGAGAGAGAGCAGCAGTGGGCGGTCTTTATTACAGGAGGGGGGCGGAGACAAGACCAGTCACCCTGCACAAGGAGAGAGAGCAGCAGTGAGCGGTCTTTATTACAGAAGGGGGCGGAGACAAGACCAGTCACCCTGCACAAGGAGAGAGAGCAGCAGTGAGCGGTCTTTATTACAGGAGGGGGCGGAGACAAGACCAGTCACCCTGCACAAGGAGAGAGAGCAGCAGTGGGCGGTCTTTATTACGGGGCGGAGACAAGGCCAGTCACCCTGCAGGAGGAGAGAGAGCAGCAGTGGGCGGTCTTTATTACGGGGCGGAGACAAGACCAGTCACCCTGCAGGAGGAGAGAGAGCAGCAGTGGGCGGTCTTTATTACAGGAGGGGGCGGAGACAAGACCAGTCACCCTGCACAAGGAGAGAGAGCAGCAGTGGCCGGTCTTTATTACAGGAGGGGGCGGAGACAAGACCAGTCACCCTGCACAAGGAGAGAGAGCAGCAGTGGCCGGTCTTTATTACAGGAAGCTCCAAGTTTCTGCACAGATCTGGAAGAAATACACAATACATTCAAGAATTCACTTGACTCTGGTATGAGGACAATATTTGGTCATCTCGGAGTTCAGGTAAAGGCAACATCTGCACTAAACCCAAGTGAAACTTTGTGAGATCATAGGCTCTCTCCATATTACTTTGTCCACGACAGGCGAAACGCTAAAAGCATGAGGTGCCAGCAATGGACATGCCTTGGTCTCGGGTTTGATTGACCGTTTTTTCTTTGAAGGCTTCATTTATAAAAGTTCCTATACTCACCAGCGCCATCTAGGGGCACCAGTACCATGCAAACGGCATCCGCTAGAACTTTAATAAAGCCCTAAGTGATGACCGACACTCATGCTGTTGTTTCTTCTCAACCACAAAATATTGAGTTGAAGGTCAGTTTTCATTTATTCAATGTGTAAGGTACCTCACAGAACGCCTTTATGGCTCGCAGTACATGGACTGAACGCAACAGACATTAAGACTAGAGCTGCAGCTAACGATTATTTTCAAAATCGATTAGTTAGCCGATTATTACGTTCGATTAATCGGTTATATAGGAATACAACAAATCCCAGCAATACATTATACATACAGTCCCTGTGCCGATCGTTGATTGGGTGCGGGCGGTGAGCGTGAGGCAGGGAGGAGATGCGGGGCGGGTCTGGCAGCAGCGAGCGTGAGGTGTGGAGCCGTGAACAGGGCCAACCAATCGGAAGCCGATTAATCGATGATTGAAAAAGTTGACAACTTTTTCAATCATCGATTATGTCGATTAGTTGTTACTGAACAAGCACCCCTAATTCTACTGGTAGGCAGAGTTCCGGGCCCCTTCAGTGTCAGGAGAAGACCACCTCCATGAGCGAGTCAAGAATGCTGTCTATTTGGAGACTAATTCTACTGGTAGGGAGAGTTCTGGGCCCCTTCAGTCCCGGGAGAAGACCACCTCCATGAATAAGTCAAGACTGCCCTCTAATTGGAGACTAATTCTACTGGTAGGGAGAGTTCTGGGCCCCTTCAGTCCCGGGAGAAGACCACCTCCATGAATAAGTCAAGACTGCCCTCTAATTGGAGACTAATTCTACTGGTAGGGAGAGCCCTGGGGTAAGCCTGCTTCCGTGCCTGGATAAGGCCACCTCCGAGAAGCAACTTAGCTCCATGAATGAGTCAAGAACGTCCTCCATTGTGGTTGGAGTTCCCGGCGAGCGGCTTCCTGAATGCACAGCTCGCCACCTGTCCCTGCCGCATGGTGGTCCAGCCGGAAAGGACAGTCGGATAAGGTGCGGATACCGGGCGACACCACGCTGTGACGTCATTGCGCATGCGCGCGGACATCTTGGTGATGGACGCCAGCAGAAAGATGAGGGGACGTTCACCCGGCCGGGTCCCCTTCTCTCTCCTGCAACTGTCGAGCTCTCCGTCCATGACCGAGTGCCTGACTCTTCAGAGGAGGTGACACCGAAAATGACTGTCAGTCATTTTGATGTCACCCGGCAGCAGGCCGCACCCCCTTAGTGATGTCACTGCCTGTCACATCGTATTTGCTATTACATAGGGGGCTTGTGATAGCAATATAGAAGCGCAAAAACACGCGTCGGGTACGTCTCCGCGCCACACACGTTACGTATCGTCGTGAACATCAGAGCGAGAGCGATCATTCTAGGCCCATCAATCACCCCCCTAGTGACACCACTGGACTGCTTTCATCTATCGTCTGAGTCCTGTGACATGTTTGTAGTCCTCTATAACTGAATGAATTAATCAGCATTACTGTATAAAGTGTTGCTGGGAGTTGTAGTCCTCTATAGCCGGTGCTATTCTGTATTGTTGGATAAAGTGTTGCTGGGAGTTGTAGTCCTCTATAGCCGGTGCTATTCTGTATTGTTGGATAAAGTGTTGCTGGGAGTTGTAGTCCTCTATAGCCGTTACCATTTTGCATTTATGTGTATAGTATTACTGGGAGTTGTAGTCCTCTATAGCCTGTGCTATTCTGCATTGTTGGATAAAGTGTTGCTGGGAGTTGTAGTCCTCTATAGCCGGTGCTATTCTGCATTGTTGGATAAAGTGTTGCTGGGAGTTGTAGTCCTCTATAGCCGGTGCTATTCTGTATTGTTGGATAAAGTGTTGCTGGGAGTTGTAGTCCTCTATAGCCGGTGCTATTCTGTATTGTTGGATAAAGTGTTGCTGGGAGTTGTAGTCCTCTATAGCCTGCGCTATTCTGCATTGTTGGGGCTATTTTAACCACTTCCTGTCCGGAGCAGTTTCTTACATTTGCACACATATGATACAATATGAATTTGTGGCTAGAAAACATCTTCAGACCCCCAAACAATGATCTATGTTCTGAAAGCCGAGTCCCTGCAAAATAAAAAGATGCTAGTTGCAATTTTTTTTATGTCGTGCGGTATTTGCGCAAATGTTTATCAAAGCGGTATTTTTAGGATAAAATACAATAAAATGAAATTTAACGCACGGAAACTGAATATAATACCCAATTTTTTGCTAAAATATAAAAGACGGGGGCATGTCGGGTAAATAGATACCAAACATGTCAACCTTTATAAATGGCGTGCGTCCGTGAAACCGCAAAAAACTACAATACACCAAATTTCCCATAGGGGACACTTTAAAAGCTTTTACAACTCACCACTTTAGTGCTAATAGTGATTGATGGGCCTAAAATGATCGCTCTCGCTCTGATGTTCACGACGATATGTAACGTGTGTGGCGCAATTTTTGTTTTTGCGTGGAGACGTACCCGACGCCTGTTTTTGCGTGCGTGGGGGGTCACAATTTTATTTTTTTAAATTTAGCTTTTTTGTTTCACAATCCCCCTATGTAATAGCAAATATGTGACAGGGAGTGACATCACTAAAGGGGGTGCGGCCTGCTGCCGGGTGACACCATTGGAGGGGTGACACCAAAATGACTGACTGTCATTTTGGTGTCACCTCCTCTGAAAAGTCGGGCACTCGGTTATGGACGGAGAGCCTAAGCTTTGCAGGAGAGAGGAGGGGACCCGGCAGCATACCTTATCCCGCCGGGTGAGCGTCCCCTCTCGTGCCAGCGCCCATCACCAAGATGGCCTCTGGCAGGTATCACCAAGATGGCTGCGCATGCACCATGACGTCACGGCGGGGTGTCACCCTGTACCCGCTCCGGGTGACACCTGGTCTCGGGACGCCCCTGGTGATAGGTTCTCTTTATGGAGATATCAGAGGTCTTTCAGACCCCTAATGTCACCTAGGGACCCCCAAAGAAAGCTGAGGAAGCAGAGATCTGCTTCTTCTCCTGAGAATGTGCCCAGTGACACCGGAAGTGATGTAATGCACATCACTTCCGGGTCCAGTGATCAGAGGAGAGATCAGCGGCTGGAAGCTTGCCGATCTCTCTCTGATCATTGCTGGGAGACCGGCCAA